GTACTAATATCACGACGTTTTTAAAAACGTCGCAAAGCTACAGCGACGGCCGCAGCTTCGACGTTTGGTACTAAACGCCACAAAAGGAATTAGGGGCGTTTTTGATACATATGGCGGCGTTTTTTAAACCCGCTAAAAGTGCGATTTCCAGCAGTGGTAATCTTCCTCTCTATCATACAGAAAGATCTCTTGAAAATTATGTCTCCATGGATACAATGCCTATTTTATAAACAATACTAAGGCTGTATTCCTTTAGTTGTTTTTTTGAATAAGAAACTTTAACTAGAAAATTAAAACAGAAACAAAGAAGGTCAAAAAATCAGTGTCTATGTGCTGCTGGAAGCAGTTCTTTTTATAGGAACTTGAATAGACACCAAACAAAGAAGGGACACATCCTTTCTTATAGACACCAACTAGATTTTAAAATATTTGAATTTGTTTCCAACTGTCCATAAATCAACAATCAATAGGATATTTGAATTTGAAATCATTAAACTGTAATATTCAAAAGGTTTGAAACTGACTGATTCATTTATTCGAATATTTTATTTATTTATTTATTTCTCTCCACTAATATTACAGATATAAATATATATCAAAAGAACTAGGAAGATCCATCTCATGGATATCTTCAAAGGAAGACCTCCAATAAAAACTCCGAAAGAAATATGGAAAGTCCTTCCTCCATTTATAGTAGATGAAAACATACTCATTTGCTTAAGATTTCAATGTGGAAATCAAGCTTAAAAATTTGAATTCCAAGTGATAAATGAATATTGAATTCCCTCCAAAGCAAAAGTGTTGGAGATTAGGCGGCGTTTTTTAAAACGCCGCCAAATGTCCCACCACACACACTGACGTCACCAACAATATTTAGCGACGTTTTTTAAACGCCGTCGTATCTGTTTTAAAAATATTACCGTTACTGTTGAGGGATTAGGAGGCGTTTGTAGAAACGCCGTCATATCTTCCTCTTTTTTTTTTTTTTTTTTGGGGGGATATTATGCTAATTTTATTTGATTAAATTAAAAAGAATACCTGTAAAAAATATTGAATTTAGTTTCTCATTCAATTAATAAAAAAATACCTATAATAAAACTAACATACAAAATATTAACTCCTATTCAAATATCTGTAATAAAACTAACATTTAAAATAATAACTCTCGTTCAAATAACAAATGAAGCATTAATTCAATTTCACATTAAAAAAAAACTAACATTTAAAATAATAACTCTCGTTCAAATAACAAATGAAGCATTAATTCAATTTCTCATTCAAAAAAAAACTAACAAACCGTGTTTAAGTAAGAGACTACAATTTGTAAAATTTTGATTCCAGATCTGCTAAAATGAAAATCCATCCATCTTGTCATAAAACATAACCCACCAAACTCAAATCTTGTCTCAAAACTGCCACAAAAAGTAAATTAACTCCTCTTGAAACAAAACAATTAGATAAAGATATTATACCAAGACAAAACTCAAAGACAGAAAAATCTCACTGGGAGACTCCCAACCACTTTGAGAAGTTTTCAAACTCGGTGTAATCGCTGTCGGAGATCATAGTCTGGTACTATGCCTTTCCTGCAGACTTGCTTTTGGTAGCCTCTTCCTGTTAATGATGAAAAGGTCAAAATTATTCATTTAGAAAAAAGGATCCAAATGAGGCCAATTGTCTACATATCAGTTTCTATGCACTGAATGATTGACAGAACTGAATATTATTACAGCAAAGTGATCAGAAATACACGTACACAAGTATAGTAAATGTTTACCATTGCTAGCGAGTTAGAAATCACGCTGCAGCGTGTGTCAAAGAAGCATATTATCAGCACACCTGAGGTGAAGATGAGAAAGTTAAAATAGAACAAACATACAAGCATATAAGTGTATATCCACCAGCAAAGGACTTTCATTATTACAGTGAGCTGGTTCCCTCAACAACCATGATGACCAGAAGCTCTCAAGTAATTTTCATGAACATGTTTTCATGCAAGTGGGGCAAGAAAAAGTAATTTTCAAAACTTAAGAACAGTGCTATGCAAGTGGGGCAAGAAAAAGTCCATCTGCTGGATGATGGGCACACAGTCATTATTGTTGACTGTGTTAGTGACATAATAATTTTAAGAAAATAATTTTTAAAGATATATTTTAAGAATTATTGTTGTCAAACTAATTAAATTTATTTGAGAAAAAAAATTAAAAAGAGATTCTCAAAATTCTACTAAACCGGGTGAATTACATTTCTATTCTATTCCTAATCATAACCCAACAGAGCACCAAATTGAGACATCTCCACAAAGTGCACAAGAGAGGGCTAAAAATTAGAGATGAAGCAAATGCAAAGCCTCTGGACTTACATGGGGTATTATTGAATTTGACAATGTTCACTTCAAGATTTTTATTCATCTGAGCAAAAACAAATTGCATGTGTACAGTGCGGATATTATATATAACTAGAAGTAGGCACATATTGCGATAGTTATCTAAAAGATCATACCAAGGGTACACTAATTCATCATTCATGCAACTATAGTTACCTGCTCAAGTGGAAAATATCAAGCAAAGTTCATACATACCAGCTGAAACAGAGCCATGTGATGTACTACCGCTACGTGATGTGGTAGGAAGACTGCCTAGTGGATGCCATGATGCCGGTGGATCGGGTATGACTTTCGTCTTGAGTGTGGTCTGAGTCTCATCTGAACTAGAACTACTAGAGCTTGATTGCTCACTTTCACCAGAAGAATGGTCAGAGCTAGAACTCATAGATAATATCTATAAAAAAACTACAAACATAAGAGTAAGGACATAATAATCTATAAATATCTACTGCATTCAAAACAAAATAAGAGTACATGAAAGGTAAAAATAGCCACAAAGGTACAAAAGCAAAGATTTTATTAACTTTTATTACAAGTTGGTTAAAAGGCCCCAACAAAATGAGGGACAACCATGTACACACGATGTAAAAGAGGTATATGTAATTAGAAGCATTGTTCCTTCTCTATTTTTTGCAAAGATTGGGGTATAATGGCATCCAAGCATGTGATTAACAAAGTATTCCCCCCCAATTATGCAGGGTGTGGCTCCAAAGTTTTCAACTTGATTTGTAAAGAAAAGCATGTGTGTAGGATACATTAATTCGAATAACTCTATTTCAGATTATAGAATGGAGGGAGAAAATTTGAAAACTACATATATTGACTGTATTCGACGTAGTCTAATCTGAGCTACTTAGTTGAAATAATAATCTCCACTTGAAATGCATCAACATTTTGAACTCAGTGATATCTCTTATCAATCTTTTGAAGTTTTATCTTGTTGTAATGACATCTACTTTTGACAGGAAAATATTCGAAAGCAGCAATTCTTGGCAGTGGGGTGCACAAATCAGGTAATGAACTTACTAAGAGAGCCAGTAATACTCACCCAATTGTGCTCTTATTATGTTCATGTTAAATATGATTTCGAGCTAGTCATATCTTGCAGTTCCAAAATGGCATGCATCTGCCTTTCAGCTTGGGTGTTGAGCAACAGGTTCGACATTTGAAGGAGCCAAACTTGCCTCCCAAAAGGTGAGTGGCATGTCAATCAAGCATCAGATCTGTTCAGACTAGAGAAACATGGAAGATTGGATCCCATACGACAAAGATTAATGAACTTCTGGTGTAGAACAAAGAAAAAACGAAGAGATAAAAATGCAGATTACAAGGAGAAGGCGATTCGTCTGAAGCTAGAAACAGAGCAGCCTCAGCAATATGCCTAGCCTTCAACACAATCCCCTTCAAGTTAGCCAAGACACAACTATTAGCTTCAACCTCACTCGGTTCCAGATTGTAGGCCTTGCATGAAAGAGGCGTGGCAATGCCAAACGGAGAAACACAATTGACTCTAATTCCATGATGCCCAAGCTCTCTGCAAGCTGATCGAACTAGCCCTACTAGGGCGTGTTTGGATGCAATATAGGCATGTGGCCCTGTTCCTCCAAGACAAGCTGCAACACTAGTAGTGCATATAATCGATCCGCGTATTTCTTTAGCCACCATTGCACGAGCTGCGTGTTTAATTGTCGAAGCAACGCCACGAACATTTGTAGCCATAGTGTTGTCAAGGCCTTCAATGTCGAGGTCTAGTATCCCAGTCAATGGGCCTATGATTCCAGCATTGCTGAACATGATATCCAATCTTCCATGTTTCTCTAGTGTGAATTTCACTGTTTCTTCAATCAAATACAAAGATGATATGTACCCAGAATTTGTACAAAGATGATATGTACCCATAATTTGTACGTAAAAAATTATCCTAAACCAGAATGAATGTGATCCATTGGTGTAATTTTCTGAGTACTTCTCTGAATAAATTTTTTTAGGTATGTCGCATAGTCTATTCAAATAACACCCTTATGAATAGAATTGTAAAAATGGGGATTCTAAACTTATCCACAAAGAATTCAAAGGATAAAATGCACACAATCTTAACAGAAAGTCTTACTGTTGAACCAAATAGCGCTTTTACCAGGAGAATTTTTTTTTTTTTAAAAAAAGCATTGTCTATTCAAATAACACCCTTATGAATAGAATTGTAAAAATGGGGATTCTAAACTTATCCACAAAGAATTCAAAGGATAAAATGCACACAATCTTAACAGAAAGTCTTACTGTTGAACCAAATAGCGCTTTTACCAGGAGAAATTTTTTTTTTTTTTAAAAAAAGAAAATAAACTTTAAAGTGGTTTCAACTGCCCAAAAATGTTTTTAATGCATACCCAGAAAGAAGAATTGACCTTAAAAAAAATAAAAAAAAAAAGAGAAAGAAAACACACAAAACAAATGTACTTGAAATTGGAAACAGTAGAATGAACTTACAGTGCTTCTAACCACCACATGAGGGCTTGCTTTGTGCCTACACAGGTCCAAACTAACCTCCATACCAGAATTTCTACACCCAACAACCAATACGCTATGGTTTGTAAATTCAGAACCAGACTTATACAAACTTGTATGCACCATAGTCCCTTCAAACCTCTCAATCCCCTGAATTTCAGGTACACTAGGCTCGGCATTTTCGCCCGTGGCGACGATCAACCACCTTGAAATATACTCACAATCTTGAGTTTGAACTCTCCAAACCCCATTTCCATGATCAAACTCAGCTCTCTCCACTTCTTGATTGAACATTGGAGCAATTGAAAAGTGTTCAGCATATGACTCTACGTACGATATGAACTGGCATTTAGTTGGGTATTTGGGGAAATTTTCTGGGAAACCAAACAGAGGAAGCTCACAGAACTGTTTGGGGAGGTGAAGTAAATACCAATTGTTTATAGTCTAGGAAACACATGCTGCAGCAGTGACTTCCTACATCACTGCTCCCTCCGTCCCATTTTGTGTGCTACTTGACAATGCACAAAATCTTAAAGACAGAATCTTTGAACCATAAATTTACAAAAAAAAAAAATATCCTTGCTCATTCGAATAAATCTTTTGGGATTGTGCAGTTCCAAAATGGCATGCATCTGCCTTTCAGCTTGGGTGTTGAGTAACATGTTCGACATTTGAAGGAGCCAAACTTGCCTCCCAAAAGGTGAGTGGCATGTCAATCAAGCATCAGATCTGTTCAGACTAGAGAAACATGGAAGATTGGATCCCATAAGACAAAGATTAATGAACTTCTGGTGTAGAACAAAGAAAAAACGAAGAGATAAAAATGCAGATTACAAGGAGAAGGCAATTCGTCTGAAGCTAGAAACAGAGCAGCCTCAGCAATATGCCTAGCCTTCAACACAATCCCCTTCAAGTTAGCCAAGACACAACTATTAGCTTCAACCTCACTCGGTTCCAGATTGTAGGCCTTGCATGAAAGAGGCGTGGCAACGCCAAACGGAGAAACACAATTGACTCTAATTCCATGATGCCCAAGCTCTCTGCAAGCTGATCGAACCAGCCCTACTAGGGCATGTTTGGATGCAGTATAGGCATGTGGCCCTGTTCCTCCAAGACAAGCTGCAACACTAGTAGTGCATATAATTGATCCGCGTATTTCTTTAGCCACCATTGCACGAGCTGCGTGTTTAATTGTCGAAGCAACGCCACGAACATTTGCAGCCATAGTGTTGTCAAGGCCTTCAATGTCGAGGTCTAGTATCCCAGTCAATGGGCCTATGATTCCAGCATTTCTGGGAAACCAAACAGAGGAAGCTCACAGAACTGTTTGGGGAGGTGAAGTAAATACCAATTGTTTGTAGTCTAGGAAACACATGCTGCAGCAGTGACTTCCTACATCACTGCTCCCTCCGTCCCATTTTGTGTGCTACTTGACAATGCACAAAATCTTAAAGACAGAATCTACAGGAGAGAAGGAGGGGGTTGAACAAAAGACCATTCCAAGGCGTTTAAAAAACGTCTTTGATTCTTGAAACGGCGCCGTTTCAATTACAGCAAAATAAGACGTTTCTAAGACGCCGTTAAATATTAGAAACAATGGCGTTTTAAAAAACGCCGTTAAAAAAACGCCGCCTAACACCATATTTCCTGTAGTGACGTTTGGAGCCCACTCGATTTTGGGCTCAAAATTGGTCCAAAATAAGCCTATATAAAACCATTTTTCCAACATGAACAACATATACGACAAGGTATCTGTCATAGTAGCAGTGAATCTGGCTAGGTTGCGGAGGAGAATTTAAAGCTAAAGGTAAATATTTCTCTCTTATTTATTTATTTATTTTTCATTTTCGTTTGACATAAATGCTAATGGGCTTACTTTGCGATGTGTCTTTTAATTGTGCACTAAAAGTGATTAGTGGCACCCCTGCATGAATTAGATGGATATATAAAGATCACAACTCCCATATGATTTTCATTAATGCAAATCATCGTTCATACTGTACAATCAAATTTCCCCTGTTCTATGGCTTGATAACGTTGTTTCTGATTACAAGAAACAATGGTTGCACAAAAGTAGCTGTGCTGCTAGTATGGCATGGCTAATAGACTGTGCTGGCAAGAAAACCACCAATCTATACAAAGTGTGAGGTGTTCGTTCTAGTGTCTTGTTGTGTAGTATAAATCTTGTCTATAAGTGAGTATCTTGTGTTTGTATTAAGTATGCTAGTTAAATGTGTAAGTGACGTTTGTCAAGTAGTTACAGTTGTGCAAACTTTTAAGAAAAATGATTTAGACCTCTAAAAAAACACCTCTAATGGAGCTCTAATTTGTCTTTTTTTTCTCCTTTTTTTGTCTTTTACTTCACTATTTTTTTTTTTTTTTTTTTTTTTTCTGGCCAAATCTCAGCCAGAACAACTTTAATGGTCCATTTCCTTCATTTATTTTCACTGATTCCCCTTTCATCAAGCTTTTGGATATCTCTTTCAATGAATTTACCGACCAGATTCCTCATGGATTTGGACAATGTTCGAAATTGGAGGTGCTCCGAGCAGATTTCAATTCCCTCTCAGGCCAATTATAACTTCTTCATGTGTTAGATCTGAGTCAAAACATTTTCTCTGACAACATTCCAGGCCAAATATCTGAACTAGTGAACTTGGAGAAACTAGACCTCTCTAGAAACCATTTCTTGGGAGAAATCCCATAATCGGTGCGAAGGCTTCATACCTTGCCGCAGTTTAATGTTGCGTACAACAATCTACGAGGTCAAATACCATTGGGATCTCAATCTCAGTTTGATCTTTTTGGAAGCTCTTCGTATATTGGGAATCCAGAACTTTGTGGGCTGCCACTCCCAAAAGCTTGTCAAATAATGCAAATGACATTCAGGAAGTGGATGGTGATGAGCATAAAATTCCATGGTTCGATCTTGTCGTGGTTTGGGATTTTTTACTGGTTTTTGGGTTGTTTTGTGCCACTTTATTGCTCAAAAATTCATGGAGACATGCTTATTTTGACTTTTTGAATGACATAAACAATAGAGTAATTGTGAATATTGGAGCAAAGCTAACAAGATTATGGAGAGAATTGCAATCTCTTTTCACACTTACTCATATAATTTGTATCAATAGATCTCTTTCAAAAGCGAACCAGATTAAACCGTATCAGCAGCACACTTGGCATAGACAATAGTTCTTGCATTGTAGTTATGGATTATAAATTCTTTCTTGATAACATTTTTTTTTTTCCTGATTACAGACCCTTCTGACCAGTGAAGAAGGCTAGTCCATGTCCGGCAATTGTAGTTTTAGTCTGGCACACGTGACAACATGAGCACGTACATTGGCTGCGCTGATAATATGGCATGTGCGATATCATGAGCCTTTATTGTAAGATATGCACCTACTGGTTTTGTTCGTGGCTTCCTCATGTAATCATCGTAGTATGACACTCCCATCATGTGTAGTCAACTTATAAATAAATCAAAGCCTAGCTTCCCACAATTTTTTTTATTTTGGGTTTAATTATAGTACTGTTAATGACAAAGTAACAAAATATCTGGCCACACAGCCTTCATGTGCTCATAAACAGATTTAACAGTATTATACTATATATTTATATGTCAGAAGAAGTAAATGCAAAGGAAGCCTATTCACCTAGTTTTTCATCCTTCTTAGGATTAGCCATCACAAATTTGTTAATTCTTTGTTGTTGGGACTAAACTAAATCTCATGTTTCAGTAATATTGTGTTTGGTTGGGAGATTTAAGAAGAGATTTAGAAAGGGAAATTGAAAAGGTAGGTGCAATGTGAATAAAATATACTTATATTTCACTTAGTTTCCCACATCTTTTACCTTTTCCTTTCCAAATCCCTTCCCAAATCTCCTAATCAAACACTGCATTAATGTTACACGAGACTTGTGTTATAACTTGTTTCCCTTTTGTTCTCACCTGTAAATATTTTCTGTTAGACAGACATACATGCTATCTGTTAAAATGCATGTAATGTAGCATTGAAAGAAAATGCAAATTGAGTAGGATTCCATCACAAAGTCTGTAATAGGCGCACCATAATAAATAAAATTGCTAATTGTGTGTTAATTGTCGGGTGTGTGGTATATGTTATAGGAGTAATTGTCAGATGTAGTTGTAACTATTGCTCGATGGAAACAATAATATGCCGATATTGACTCAACATGTCCCTCACGCGTGGCAGGATTTATTACCTGCTCTGATATTATATTAAATTTTTAATCACCAACTCATCTAAAATCTAAAGTTGTTAGAAAGAAGAACAATTTTATTATTTATATTATTTTCTAAACACTCTAGTAAATTGCTAAAGGCGCTGCTAAACTCAAAATTTAGATAGATTTCAAAATTCTGGTTCTCTACTATTGCTGCTATCCCTCCTAATTTGTGTCAAATTTGACACTAATTAACAGTTTTCAAATATGCCAAATCATTACTTTAAAATAAAATAAAAATAAAACCCCCACTAGAACTAGATATTAATTGAAATTTCAACGACCACTCAGAAACCACCACTACAAGTCAACGGTAATGCAAATCAAACTAAACCATAAATTAAACCTCTCTAGGAGAGATAGATGACTACGACAATTGGTATCGAAAATCTCGATCAATGGGTGACAAAACCACTACAAGTGGATTGTTTCTAGCCAACCGACTGATGGGTGTGGATGAAAACAAAAATGTTAGAGACCCTAAAAATTCTATCAAAAGTTTTATCAAATGTTTCATATGGGTATGGGACCCACACCCACATAATGTGGGTCTAACATCCACATTTGGTAAAATTTTTAGTAGAATATTTGAGGTTTCTAACATTACTCTGATGAAAATACACTCGAGGGAGATAGGGAGGTCACCGATCATGTGATTAATAAAGAGGGAGATTTATGGAGAGAGAGAGATTGACGATTTTTTTTGCATTCGTGGTGATGATCACTAATCGGAGGAAGAATTGATGAATAGAGAATTTATGAATAAAAAGAGATTGATGAAGGATTTTTTTTTTTTTTTTTTTTTTTTTTTTTTTTTTTTTAAGAGAGGGAGAGGTTGTACAAAAAATATAATTATTGCATCTCAAAAGCAACATTACGCTATGTTTGGTTTTGACTTTTTTACTAAAAAAATACAAAAGGTAAAATTAATTACATAAATTAATAAGATAAAATGTTACATTTAAATAATAATCATTACACTTTTTTTCTTATAAAAATTAAAATATTTAAAAACAAAAACCAAATAAGATTAAAAAAACCAAATTTAAAATAGTTAACAAATCTGACTGTTTTAACTCTTTTCAAACGAAAAAATTTTAATATTTTCACAACGTAACATTATCAAAATTTAACTTTGAAAAACTAAAATCAGAATTGCTTTAGAAGTTGCCAATGTCATGCGTTTAGTTAGAATAGAAAATAAATAATGTGGCATTTTTTCATAAATCTTTTCTTACTTACTTATTTTTTATTTAGTTTATATTATTTTTTTATGTTCCAAGAAATTTTATGGGTGATATAATTATCAAAATACCCTTAATAATGTGGGGACATATTTTTGGAATGACAACACGTGGCCGAGGTGGCACCGAAGTGTCAGCCGAGGTGTCATGTGTCTTGGTCATGACGCCGAGGTAACCGCGGATAGGTCGAGGTTACCGGAATCCGGGATAAGCGGATAAGGGACAAGAGTCCTAAAATGATAGAGGACTTCAGTTTGGATAAAGATAAGACTCTTAAAGAGTTCATCTCAATCTAACTAGGAGTCCAGGATTAGCATTGAGCACAGAGTCCATTGAAGTTAGGCTTCTACTGGGATTAGGTTAGTGTTGGCTATAAAAGAGATGCACCCTCATGGATCTAAGGTATGCTTTTTGTATTCTGAATAGTGAGTTAAGCACTTTTGCTATCTTTGAGAGATAACTGACTTGATCGTCGGAGTACCCCCAGGTGGACGAACTCCCGCCGGAATCTCTTCTTTCTGTGACAGGTTGTTCGGGCTTAATCTGTTCTGCCGGTGCTCTCCAGCTGAATACCTATTAGGCGAAGAAGTCTTGGCAAGCATTATGCTTACCACAACGAAGATGGGCATCTGACTTAGGGTGCAGAGCCCTGAAGACACATCTTGAAGACCTGGTAAGGCAAGGTCATTTAAGGGACCTTATAGATAAGGTCAGGACAAGGGAAGAACAAGCAAGACTGCCTCAGACACCGGTAGCACCGCCACCTCTACCAGCACCACAACCGCAAGCAGGCGGGCCTCGAGTGATCAATGTGATTCACTCGAAGGTCAATGAGAACGAGATACGTGGGGAGACTCAAAAGGTAAAACACTTACAACATGTGTACTAAGTCAAGCAGAAAAGACCTAAAGCAAACGAGTGCCAAGGACCGGTGGTGTCCTTTAC